TGATATATGTATGTATGTATGTATATATGTATGTATGTATGTATGTATGTATGTATGTATGTATGTATGTATGTATGTATGTATGTATGTATGTGCGAGCCCTTGGTTAAAAACAATAGCCATAAAAACTATCATTTCGCCCCTGCTAAACAGATAATATTAGTGTACAGGGTCTCGCACAGAAGGGCACTTAGCAATGTTCTCTAAAATACAAAATGAATTAAACTTTTGCAACAGCAACGATATATTTTGCTTTATATAAATTTTATCATTGGGATCACCAGATTTTTCAACTATTTTAGTAGCAATGTTATCAAAAAATAATTGTGTCTGTTTATCCACTGGGCCAAATGTCTCCACACAGATCGGAACAAAAACTCGTATTGTCGTTTAAATCTTTATACTTAGTATTTTTGAAATCAGCAGCCTTCACCGCGGCGGAACCTTGCTCCATAGCCGTGTAATTGATGTACCTTTCGGCTAACGTGTGAGGGAACGTCACATCCCATGATAAACAACAACCTTGGGACCACGGTACCAGGGTGTAACCATCTGGCCTGAAGTTGCTTTCAGATAGTAGGCCTGCTGGTTCCTTAACGGCGGGTATATTTGCTTTCTGGAATAATTTGCATATATAATCATTCATGGCAGAGTGTCTTGCTTGTCTTCCTGAACCAAGCCTACACGATAAACCATGGTGACCCAACTGAGAAACATCCGCCCCACACAAGCATCTGTAACCTGACACCACCGGCAGCCCAAGTCTCAAGCATAAACTCACTAATAGAACCATTGACGAGCCTTGTACCACAAGCTGTACTGGGAATGGCCCTTAGCCAAGCAGACCCCAATTCACTTCTGACGGCCATCAACCTGGCCTTATCTGAGGGAGAGTCATTTAATTCCTCCAGTTTCGATTTTGAAACATTCAAAGATGGTTCATTCCATTTCTTCTGCGAACACACATTTATGTCCATTATATCTCCGTAAACCGTGCACCAACGCCGAAATGTTTCAAGTCTTAAATCATCCTGGTATGCTACATCCATTGGTAAGATTTTATCCTGGAGGGCTGCCGTGGCCGCGGCCGATGACAAAAAGGCTGATGGTGCCAACTCGGCCACGACGCCCAAACCCAGTCCACCCATATTTACCGGCAATATAGCCTGCTTCCAACCTTTATCATCAAAAAACACATTAAT